GGCTCCAGGCTTCGGTCTGGCCCAGCTCTGGCCATTGCAGCCATTTGGAGAGTGAACCAGCAGATGGAGGATCTCTCTCTCTCTTTCTCTATCTCTCTCTTTCTCTCTTTGCAACTCCACTTTTCAAATAAGTAAGTAAATAAGTAAATAAATAAACATATTTTTTAAAAAGACAAGTGCCTAAAACAAAAACTATTTCTTTAAAAAAGAGCAGAGAATCTAAATTGAGCCTGCCTGAATTCAAATCTTCCCTGTGTGTCACTTCCTGTGTGACCATGGGCAAATTGCTCAACTACTCTGTACTTCAACTTGCCCATCTATGAAATGGGTATAATAATGGCACCTACTTTACAGCGGTGTCATCAGGGTTTAATGAAGCAATCTGAATAGTCCCTGGATGCGCATTTGTTTCATGATAGTTTTTTTGAGATCAACTCATGTCTCAAAAAGTTTTTAAGAGGTTTGTATCTGAAAGGCAGTGTGACAGAGAGAGCAAGAAGAGGGAGAGAGAAGGAGAGAGGTCTTCCATCTGCTGGTTCACTCCCCAAATGACCACAGCGGTTGGAGTTGGGCCAAGCCAAAGCCGGGAGCCAGGAGCACCAGCTGGGACTCCCACTTGGGTGGCAGGGACTCAAGCACTTGGGGCATCATCTGCTGTCTTCCTGGACAGGTTAGCAGGAAGCTGGATCAGAAGTAGAGACACTGGGACTCGAACCAGCGCCCCCAGTATGGGGGTGTCACAAATGGTGATTTCATCTGCTGTGTTACTCCGTCCACTGCACTTAGAAAAATCTAAAGTCTAGCTTTGCTCTGAGAAATGATTGTTCATAAGAGCATGGAATGGATAAGCTCATTACACCTTTTTTTTTTTTCAATTTTTTTATTTGAAAAGTGGAGTTACAGAGAGAGGTAGAGACTGAGAGAGGTCTTCCATCCACTGGTTCACTCCCCAAATGGCCGCAATGGCTGGAGTTGAGCTGATCCGAATCCAGGAGCAAGAAGCTTCCTCCGGGTCTCCCACATGTGTGCAGGGGCCCAAGCACTTGGGCCATCTTCTGCTGCTTTCCCAGGTGCATTAGCAAGGAGTTAGATTGGAAGTGGAGCAGCCGGGACTCGAACTGGCTCCCATATGGGCTGCGGGTGCTGCAGGCGGTGGCTTTAACCTGCTGAACCACAGTGCCAGTGTGGGTGGGGGTGGGAGGGGAGGCCTCCATTCACTTGAAAAAAAAAATGCATGACTCTGGAAACAAAGGCTGTATGTAAGTGCACTGATCACGTGTCAAGAGGGTGGATAAGACAGTCCATTCTAGCATAGTTCCAAGTCCCCAGCTCCCTGCGCCAGGGAAGAGCAAGCACCGTGGAGGAGTCCTTGAATGACAGATTTGACAGTAGAGGATATGGAGACCTGGGCTTGTGCAAAGCACCAGCCGCAGTGCCCGTGTACTGCCTGCTGTGGACAGTGAGCTCGTCTGGTCATCCCCGCACCTCGCACTGCTGCCAGAGCCTCTAACAGGAGCCTCCGCTCCCACGAGTGCTGAAGTCAGAAACTTCACATTGTCACTGTCCATCTTTCCCCAGTGTGGTCTGGTCTTCTTTCACGGCATTGGATGACAGCAGTGAGGGCAGCTCCCAGGCAGCCTCGCAGTGACAGAGGAAACGGCAGCTGACTCTCCAGGCTGCTGAGTCATGCTGCTGAGTCAGGGTGTGCCCTGGGTGAGGTAGACTCTGCATCTCTAACTTAGGACGTTTCCAGTTTTCCAAGGATTTATCAGGGCGTCACTCCATCGTAAGTGCAAAGCACAGCAAAAGCCCCCAACCTGTCAGTAAGTATGCCACTCAGGAACGTTGGAGGCCGGAAGGCAAGGGTGACTCCTAGGCTTCAGCGGAGACGGTGGGAGAAAGGGGTGGCCACGAGCAGAGACCGGCATGGCTGTGGGCAGAGTTCGCATGAGATGATCAAGGGGAGATGGTAAGAAGTTAGACTCAAGAGCGGAGTTCAGGAAAGGGCTCGGAGGGTGTGAACTTGCCAGACACAGATGCCCTTGAAGGCTGCAGAGGTCGGGGGAAGCTCCGGTGGTGGTGGTAGAGAGAACAGTTAGAGGGAGGGAGGGAGAGAGGGGAGATCTTTAGACCCATGGAGGCTGGGAGAAGAGACCCAAAGGCTACAAGAGACCAGGAGAAAGCCAGGGAGCCAGGCAGGCAGTGGGGGTCACCACGCCCACCCACCTCCGTTAGTGCCGAGTCCTTGCTGACCTTCGCAAGAACAGCGTTGATGGGAGGTTGGGGTAAGAACCTGCCTGCAGGGGATCTGGGGTGATTGGGAGAATCAGAAACGACAGGTGCAGGCAGCAAGAGCTTCCCTGCCGGGGTGGGGTGAGGAGTGGGTGCCCGGAGTGGGAAGGCCACGGCTATGTTTGTGCAACAAGCACACGGAGGCCACGGCTTAGCAGTGACGGTGTCAAGGGCCGTTGGGTGGGGGCGGGGAGTTTTAGTCTCTCCTCCCACAGCTCCGTCAGCCATGCACCCTCTTGTCATGGCTCACACAGCTCCTTCTGCGCATACAGCAAATTGAGTGAGCTCAGCCTGAGCACATGGGTCTCCAATAGCTCTTCGGCAGGTGATTATGTTAAGTCCCGCCCTTAGTCTAGAATGTTCTCTGCCTGCTGAATTTCTCCTTTTCCTTCAAAGCCTGGTTCCATTGGGTAAACTTTCCTGGGTGATTTTTTTTAATAGTAGAACTTTATAGAATTTTTATTTTTGAGGGACAGGCAGATGAGAAAGCTCCCACCTGCTGGTTCCATGCACGAATGTCTGAAATGGCTGGGGCTGGGCCAGGCCGCAGCCAGGAGCTGGGAACTCAGTCCAGGGTGTGGCAGGAACCCAGCTGTGTGAGCTTTCACCTGCTGCCTCCAAGAGTCTGCAGTAGCAGGAACCTAGAGTCAGGAGCCGGAGCTGGGAATTGAACCCAGGCCCTGCAATGTGGGATGTGGGCATGCTCACCAGCCGGTTAACCACAAGGCTGAATGATGTTGCACTCTGGGTATTTCTGAAGGTGTGAAAATGAAGGGCAAGTGTGTGAGTTTAAGGGTGTTGCCCATGGGACCATGTGTCGTGACATACATGGGAACATGTGATATATGTGCTCCCTGTCAGCAGCCAGGGGATCTCCGAGAATGGGTAAGAGATGCTGACTTTAGAAATGATGTTGTCAGGGCCGGTGCTGTGGCGCCATATGGGATGCCACTGCCTGCAGTGCCAGCATCCCATATGGGCACCGGTTTGAGTCCTACCTGCTCCACTCCCGATCCAGCTCTCTGCTGTGGCCTAGGAAAGCAGTCCTTGGGCCCCTGTGCCCACATGGGAGACCTGGAGGGAGCTCCTGGCTCCTGACTTTGGATCGGCAGAGCTCTGGCCATTGCAGCCATCTAGGGAGTGAACCGGCGAATGGAAGACCTCTCTCTCTCTCTCTCTCTCTCTCTCTCTCTCCTTCTCTTTCTGTGTAACTCTGACTTTCAAATAAATAAATCAATCTTTCTAAAAAAATGATGTTGCCTTGGGGCTGACGCTGTGGCATAGCAGGTAAAGCAGCACTGTGACGCCAGCATCCTATACGGGTGTCCGGTCGTGTTCCAGCTGCTCCACTTCCGATCCAGCTCCCTGATCATAGCTTGGGAAAAGCAGCGGAAGACGGACGGCCTAAGCTCCCGGCTCCTGGCTTCAGCTTGGCTCAGCCCTGGCCATTGCAGCTACTTGGGAAGTAACCAGCAGATAGAAACTCTGTCTCTTGTGCTTTCTCTCTGCAACCCTGATTTTCAAGTAAGTAACTAAATCTTAAAAAACAAAAGGTGTTGTCTAGCCAGCTCTTCAGGGTCATCTGACGCTGTGGGGTCTGTGCCTTTCACGGCCTTTGAGCTACCTTACAACTCTAAGTTGTAGGCAACTGGCAGTAAGTGAGTGACTCTTGTCCACTGTGGTACAAATGACTGTTGCCCTGGAGACACAACTGACCTTCACCTCGGGGAAGGGCCGGCCGGGTCTGCTGAGAAACAGCTGCGCGCACCTGGCTCCTCGTTAAAGCGCCTGTGCCTTAGGTTCCCTTTAAGCCGCTGGGACGTCATATGGGTCCCCTCATTGCTGATGCGCTGAGTCATCTCCTTGACATGTGCTCATGGCACATGTGTGTGACAGCGATGATCTGATCTTTAGAAATGATTGTTTAACAAGTGTTTGATCGTAAAAAGCTGGCCAGTGCCACCTGCGATGAGCAAGGGATAGGAGCGGGGATGGACGGAGCAGAAATGTAGAGAATGCTTGCGACGGCTGCAATCCTGTCCAGGCTTCTCCAACGAAAGGGGGTTTTTCCAGAAAGATTCAGCGTTCTCTTTCAGAACTGAAAGGCAGGTGGAATAACTGGGACCCTCTGAACCAGGGAGGGAGTGGGGCATGAAGCTTGGCTACATATCGCAAATAGATGTTTCTTCCTCTCATACAAAAAAAGTACGGAAGTCAGAAGCTCAGGACTAGCGTGACAGCTTCTTAGTGCCTCAAAGGACTCGGAGCCCTCGTTTTCTGCTCTGGCATCCTCAGCAACGTCCATCCTCAAAGTCACCTCAACATCTAATAAGGTGGGGCCAGCACTGTGGCGCAGCAGGTAAACGCCCTGGCCTGAGGCACCAGCATCCCATGTGGGCACTGGTTTGAGTCCCGGCTGCTCCACTTCCAATCCAGCTCTCTGCTATGGCCTGGGAAAGCAGTAGAAGATGGCCCAAGTCCTTGGGCCCCTGCACCCATGTGGGAGACCTGGAGGAAGCTCCTGGATCCTGGCTTCATATAGGTGCAGCTCTGGCCATTGCGGCCATTTGGGGAGTGAACCAGTGGATGGAAGACCCCCCCCCCTTCTCCTCTCTCTGTGTAACTCTGACTTTCAAATAAATAAATAAATCTCTAAAGAATTATCTAATAAGGTTGCTGAAGCTCCAGCCATCACTTCTGTATTCCAGGCATCAAGGAGGAGAAAGGAAAGAAAGACATACCTCCTCCCTTTAAAGAAGACTTCTGGGAAGTTCCGTACAACACTTCCATTGGCCACGACTTAGTCACGTGGCTACACCTACACGCCAAAACAGCCAGAGAACGAGAAATGAGACCGACTACAACCAAATTTGAAATCCCTACTGAGGTTTGAATCCAGCTTGCGGGTATATTTAGGTTAGCCTTGGCAGTTGTGAATTTTGGAAAGCATGATTAGGCATTTAAATGTTATGAGATAACCTAAAATAAATCTTGGTCGCTGGTTTCTCTGGGAACTCAACGTGTAGTAATGCTGGGCACACATCCTGTGGCTCGCGCCGCCGAGTAGCTGCTTCCTCGTGTGCTGCTCCTCTCTCCTGTGGGTCGTCTGCAGGGCCCTTGTAGATGTCAGAGTCCAGGACCCTGACCTTGGAGGCCCGCTGTCAAGTGCCCAGCTCACCTGCTCTCTGGAGAGCGGACCTCAGGCTGCCGTCTACTCCTGGCTGGGTCAGTTCTGGCTGCGGATGGGTTGGGGCGGGATGAGTGGGAGTAGGGCCCCCATGGTGCCGGCCCCACAGCCGGGAGCATGGGCATGGGGTCCACCCCTCTTGGGTGTCTGCCAAAGTTGGGGTAGGAGGGATGGCAGAGGCTCCCTAAGCAGGAGGCTATTGGCCCCTGCGGGGCTCCCATCTGAAAGGCGTTCAGGGGCAACCCCTGACAGTGGCTTCCTTTTCTGTAGCTGTGACTGAATTCTGCTCCTGGATGGGTTTAGCAAGAATGGAGGTTTATTGGGCTCATAGCATCGGGTGGCCAAGGGCTGCGTCAGAGCAGACAGCAAGGTAGAAGGCGGAGAGGGTGTGTGCCAGAGAAAGCAAGAGACCAGGCTGGGGTTTTAGCAGATAACCAGCCCACGGCCACGACGAAGCCCAGATCTCTCTTAAGGACCAGTCCCTCCTGCACAGCCCCACCGCCCATCACCACCACCATGCAGCAATCACTTCTCCACCTGAGGGGCGGGGCCTTGGTCAAGACACGTGGTGAAGCTGTGTGTTGAGAGCCTGTAGCGCCACCTCTCAGAGCACCTGGCTCCGGCTCCCGACTCCAGCTTCCTACAAAGCAGCAGGCGACGACTCAAGTACTTGGGTTCCTGCCACCCATGCGGGAGACCTGGACTGGGTTCCCAGGTCCTGGCTTCAGCCTGGCACAGCCCCAGTCATGGTGCATGTGCAGGGAGCTCTCTGCTTGTCTCTCAACCACTGGATGGGAGCTCGATCGCGCTCTCTCTCTCTCTCCCTCCCTCCCTCCCTCTCTTCCTTGTGTCTTTCTCTCTGCTTGTCTGTCTCTCAACCAATAGATGGCATCTCTCTCTCTCTCAAGTTAAGTCAATTTCAATGCGAGTCTTGCAGGAGCCATGCCGTATCCCAACCCCAGCCCTGGATGGTTTGCACACATCATTTGGGAGAGTGAGGACCCAGCAGACACAGAGAGGAGAGCTAGCCACTCCAGCTGCTCCGCCTCCCCCTCCCCCCTTCACTAGAGCAAGCAGCTTCGCTCCTTGAGCCATGTTCCTTCCCCCTAGGAAGTGAGTGTTCGGTAGTGTGAGGGATTCCAGCTGGTTCACGGCTGTGAATGCTCTCCATTTTCATAGCGCCTCTTTCCTTCCTCCAAGTCCGGGTCCTCGTGGTCCCCTTAGGCAGGTGCATGGGGGTGGGGCGCCCCGCCCCCATCAGCAATGGCCAGCGGGAGGTTGGCCCTCCACGTCCATGAGTCAGATGAGGCCATGGGGAACCAGGGCCAGGCCTGGGGTGGAAACCACTGGGAAGACAGCCACTCGCCTCCCGGCCGGGAGCTGTGAAGAGGCAGGCTGGTGGCCAGCTTGCCTCCACAATGGGAAACTGCCTGGGAAGGAAGCCAGCGTGGGAGGGAGCAGGAGGGAGAGAAGGGACAGCAAGGGAAAGTCGGGATGAAAGCCTGTAAGTGGCTGCAGCAAGTCAGATCTCAAAGCCACAACTGTCACCAGGGCTCATGCACCCTGTCTACGCCAGTGTTAGTGGGAGCTGGTTTTCTGTCACTCAAAGAGTAACTACCGAAGGTCTGATACGACTCGCAACCACCAAATCAAAAGCCTGTGTTCCATGCCGAATGCTGGCTCACTGCTCCGTATTCAGCACTGGGTTTGGGCTTGCTTTGCCTCCCTATAACTTGCGCTGGATATCTGCTCTTTTTCTCTTTACTCGTTCACTCCTTGTGATCTGACCCACGAGAAAGGCACGTAGAGTTCAGAGCTGGTGCCAGGGCAGGCTTGTGGCTTCCACCTGAGTGGCTGGTCAGTTTCAGTTGGGAGTGCTGGGTTAGCAAGTCAGTGGGAAAGAATGCGGAGCTTGATTAGCAATGCCTGCCCCGGGAGCTGTAAATGAGTGCAGGTGCGGATGCTAGAGCCTTGCTCTGATTGATGTTATCTGTTCCAAGTCAACAAAAGGGAATCGTAATGACTGTGCACCCTACTCCATGGCTGCTCGAATTGCTTCTACTTCTCAGCCTAATTAGAAAATACATACAGGGGCTGGCACTGTGGTGCAGTAGGTAATTCCTTTACTTACGGTGCCGACATCCCATATGGGTACTGGTTCAAGTCCCTGCTGCTCCTCTTCCAATCCAGCTCTCTGCCATGGCCTGGGAAAGCAGTAGAGGATGGCCCAAGTCGTTGGGCCCCTGCACCCAGTGGGGAGACCTGGAGGAGGCTCCTGGCTCCTGGCTTTGGATCGGCACAGCTCCAGCGGTTGAAGTCATTTGGGGAATGAACCGGCCAATGGAAGACCTTTCTGTCTGTCTCTCCCTCTCACTGTATGTAACTCTACCTGTCAAATAAATAAATAAATAAATAAATCATAATATATATGTATATATGTATGTGTGTATATATATATATAAAATTTGTGGGTGGAGGTAACTGACGGAGAGGAATTTGTAAAGGACTTGGTGTGGGTGGCCAGGAGGTCACCTTTAGCTTCTGCTACTTGCTGGTGATCTTTGGTGAATCACATCTCCTCCCGCTGACTGAATTTGCAACATGATGAGAATGGTGGGGGGCAGGCATTTGGTGCAGGGGTTACAACACCCACATCCCATATCCGAATGCCTGGGTTCGAATCCCCACTCTGCTTCTGATCCAGCTTCCTGTTAACACACACGCTGGGATGCAGCAGGTGATGGCTCAAATACCTTGGTCCCTGCCATCTGTGTGGGAGACTGGGACTGAGCTCCTGGCTCCTGGCTTTGGCCTGGCCCAACATTGATTGGTGCGGACGTTTGGGACAGGGAATTGGTGGGAAGATCTCTTTGTCTTTGGCTCTCGGCCTTTCAAACAGAAACAAACAAACAATTCTTTTAAAAGAGGGGAATGACCCAGAGGAGACCTGGCTGCAGAAGGCAGCACTCTAAGCTTGTCCTGAACGTGCTGGAGGCATTCCCCTACACCCGACTTTGCCTCTGAGGCTCGGAGGCCGTGTTTCTGCCAACGCCTCCCCCTTCAGCTCAGGCCAAGGAAGTCAGAGCCTCCCTCGGGTCGAGGACATGCTGTGCTGGGGCTGAAGCACCTGAAGGCAGACCCAGGTGTGATTCAGCCCATGCCCCAGGACTCAGCACGTGTCCGGGCACAGGACAGGTGCACAGTCAGAGTTTGTTGAATGACTCAGCAAATGACCTCTCTATAAGGCAGCTGAGAAATTGAAGGAACGAATAAAAGCCCTGAGGAGTTTCTCTCCCCTCCCTCCTCCTCTCTCTCCCCCACTCCCTTCCTGCTTTTCTCATCTCTCATTGAATTTCCAAGCAGAACCTGTGCTAGCGATCAGCATGGTTGCTCTGGAGGTGGAACCCTGCCTCACTGGACTGCCCAGGCTGTCTGGACTGGAGGCAGCGGGGAGGCGGCCAGCTCAGAGGATGCGCAGCCATTGCTGGCCACTGCTGGCCACTGCTGCTTTTCCAAAGTCAGTCCAAGACACTGTTTACATGCTACAGCCTGTTTTGCTCTGAACTTCCTTGCAAATTGGACTGAATGTGCTAAATGCATAATGAATCTGCTAAACTCTTATTGATTTCCTCGTTGATTACATATAATTTGCTGGACTGATTTGGCTGTGTGACTTGAAAGACATTTGGGGGAAAAAAATCTCTGTAATTTGTCACTCAGCTCACCCTGGACTTTACAACGAATGCAGAGCGATGCGTTTAAAAGACAAAGTTGGAGCTGTGATCCTCATTATCTTCAATGGAGGGCACCGCGTTCCAGGCAACGCAGCTTTTACTGAGTTCCAATCATGCACTCCCTTGTGGGAGTGACTGGGGTTTTGCAGATGAATAGGAGTGTGTTTCTGAGCTTGCTGTGTCACAGGCTCCTGGAGGCAGAGGGGCTGAGGGGTAGTGCCCACCCATGTGCCTGCAAGTTAGTGGATAAGAGCACAGAGCTGGAACAGTTCCCTTCATTCGTGAAAGTCAAGGACATTCTCAAAGGGAATTCCCCCTCTGAGCTGAACTTGGGGGAGGTCTGTGGGCAGGCCAGGAGCAGCAGGTGCCTATCGCTCTTCTCTGCCCTCTTTCCATTCCCTTTTCTTTGATGAAAGCATCAAGGTTTGCTTTGAGAATGCCTCTTCTGCAACCCCCATCCCACAAGGTCCTGGTGGAACCAAGTGTGCCCAACCCCCACCCCATAGCCAAGATGTGGGTGCTCCAGTCTGTCTTCCCAGGGATCTCCAGTTGCCGTGGCTTCTTACAAGGAGCAGGAGCAGTAGCGGCCATGATATCCCAAGACCATCCGTGAATGTCTGCTGCTGCCATTCAGCCCCTCCCTGGGTCCTTTCTGTTCAGGATCTCAGCCGAGAGTTCCTTCCTGGGCCTCTGAGCTGCTCGGCCACCGGGGTGGGTTTCTGGTGTTCAACATCCTTGTTCCTTTCTCCCACTCCTCACTGGCAAGACCGTGACCCAACGGGGAGCCCTCATCGGAGCCACGTGCTCCTGACTCCGTGGTACGTCTCCATCCCCGAGTTCTCCACTGAGCTCTGCACTTGAACATCCACCTCTCCCAAGGCTGCTTGGATGTCTAACATGGTCCCACACCTGTACCTCCTGTCCCCTGCTATGCCCCCATAAACAGCCACTCCCTCCCCATCTCAGGGTGCCTCTGTCTCTCTCTGCCTCACAAATAATATTCTGTGGGGGCCAGCGCTGTGGCATAGCAGGGAAACACTCTACCTGCAGTGCCGGCTCCATTTCTGATCCAGGTCTTTGCTAACGCACCTGGGAAAGCAGTAGAAGATGGCCCAAGTTCTTGGGCCCCTGCACCTGTGTGGGAGACCAGGAGGAAGCTCCTGGCTCCTGGCTTTGGATCGGCACAGTTCTGCCCGTTGTAGCCATTTGGGGAGTGAACCAGCGGATGGAAGATCTCACCCTCTCTCTCTCTGTTTTTCCCTCTCTCTGTGTGACTCTGCCTTTCAAATAAATAAATAAATAAATTTTTAAAATATATTTTGTAGGAAATGGAATTTCTATATATATATATATATTTGGTGCAAAAAATGCTGAAATTGATGCATAGCTTTTTCATAATATGATTTTCCATGAACTTTCTGAAGGCCCTGCATACTGGGCCTGGGCAGAGTGTGTCTGGGTTCATCAGCCTTGGTGCCAGGTGGGCCTGTGTGCGTGTCTCACCCTCTGCCTTCCGGGTTCTCACTCCCCGAGCAATCCCAGTCCACCTCCCTGCCGGCCCTCCCCTCGGGTCCATTTGCTGTCCATTCTTCTCATCTTGATTCGACTTATCTAGTCCCAGGCATCCTCTCAACTGGGGTTGCAATGAGTTTTTTTAAGGATTATTTTTTAATAAATTTATTTATTTAAATAAATATTATTTAAATTTTATTTATTTAAAATTTTTTTTAAGATTTATTTTTGAAAGGCAGAGTTAGAGAGAGAGAGAGAGGAGAGAGAGTGCTCCTCCATCCTTTGGTTCACTCCCCAAATAGCCACAATGGCCGAGGCTGGGCCAGAGGAAGCCAGAAGCCAGGAGATTGTTCCACGTCTCCCAAATGGGTGCAAAGACCCAAGCACTTGGGCCATTCCCTGCTGCTTTCCCAGGCACAGCAGGGAGCTGGATCGGAAGTGGGGTAGCTGGGACTTGAAGAGGTGCCCACAGGAAATGCGGGCAGGAGGCGGCTTTCGCCGCTAGGCCACAGCGCTGGCCCCCTGCAATGCCTTTTCCATCCAGTCTTTTTTTTTTTTTTAAGATGTATTTATTTTATTTGAAAGTCAGAGTTACACAGAGAAGGAGAGGCAGAGAGAGAGAGAGACAGAGAGAGAGAGAGACAGAGAGTGAGAGAGAGAGAGTCTTCCATCACTGGTTCACTCCCCAGATGGCCACAATGGCCGGAGCTGTGCCGATCCAAAGCCAGGAGCAAGAAGCTTCCTCCGGGTCTCCCAAGCAGGTACAGGGGCCCAAGCACTGGGGCCATCCTCTGCTGCTTTCCCAGGGCGTAGCTGAGAGCTGGATGGGAAGTGGAGCAGCCTTAGACTCCACCCCTGACTGCGCCTCTGCCTAACGCCCTTCCAGGGCTTCCCCTTGCCCTTGAAATACAATGTACTTACAGAAGCTCCTCAGTTTCCAGGGGGCTCGCATCCTTGTAATGATCATCATCAGGATGAACTGAACTCAAGGTGAGCCGAAAATGCAGACTCCACCTGTCCTACCAAGCACCCTAGCTTGGCCCAGCCTGCCTTAAATATGCTCAGAATGCTGGTATCAGCCTTTAGCCAGGCAAGATCACCTAAGTCAGAGCCTATTTTATAATCAAGTGTTTAATTTCTTAGCAAGTAAATATGGTAGTAACACTAGTTAACCCTTTCATACTATCACGAGTTGAGCCACCCTAAGGTGGGAACATGGGTAGCCCACTGCCACTTGGAACATCCTGCTCCAGTTGGCCCCTTCCTGCTCTTCTGCCTACTTCTTTTGTAAAAAAATATTTATTTTATTTATTGGAAAGGCAGAGAAAAAGAGAGAGAGAGCGTTTCCCATTTGCTGGTTCACTTCCCTAAATAGCTGCAATGGCCAGGATTGGACCAGACCAAAGCCAGGAGCCAGAAGATTCTTCTGGGTCTCCCACGTGGGTGCAGGGCCATCCTCTCCTGCTTTCCCAGATGCATTAGCAGGCAACTGGATCAGAAGTGGAGCAGCCAGGACTTGAACCGGCGCCCATAGGGATGCCGGCATCACAGGCCGGGGCATCAGCTGCTGCACTTCAGTGCTGGTTCCGGATTTTTTGTCTTCACCTCCTAGCCCCCTCTGTGTGTCCCACTCGCGTCCCACTGGCCTTTCTGTTCCTGGAACCTCTGTACCTCTCAAGGACTTTGACCGGGCAGGTACCTCCGCCTGGAGGGGCAGCAGTAACGGGGAGGGTCTTGTGAGGTTCTTAGGTACGGTGGGGCCTTAGCCATCATGACAGCTGTGAGCAGCACAGGGAGCGCCATGACCTCTGCTGTTGCTGAGCGCAGGGAGATGGACTGTTCCCGCAAGTCAGGCAAAGCAGGGTGACCCCAGCCACATTGGCAGCAAGGACAGGCAGAAGCCCAGTGTCCAGGGTGAGCCAGTCTTGCAGGACCCCCAGAGGCCTGGGGCAGAAGGGATCCCATGCACATGGGCCTGCTTTGCCCCACGACTGAGGAACCCAGATGCACTCTGCAGAGGCCTTGTACACAGGGTCCTTTGAAAAGTGCATGGAGGGGCCGGTGCTCTGGCTTAGCAGGTAAAGCCAGTGCCTGTATTGCCAGCATCCCATATGGGTGCCAGTTCGAGACCTGGCTGCTCCACTTCCGATCCAGCTCTCTGCTAT